AAAAGCGTAAAGGTTTCGGCAAAATACATACCAAAAAAAACCTGTTGGGCAAAATACAATAGAGAAAGAAGGCATTTTGGGCAAAATACAATGGAGAAAAGCGTAAAGGTTTCGGCAAAATACATACCAAAAAAAACATCTTGGGCAAAATACTATAGAGAAAGAAGTCATTTTGGGCAAAATACAATGGAGAAAAGCGTAAAGGTTTCGGCAAAATACATACAAAAAAAACATCTTGGGCAAAATACAATAGAGAAAGAAGGCATTTTGGGCAAAATACAATGGAGAAAAGCGTAAAGGTTTCGGCAAAATATATACAAAAAAAACATGTTGGGCAAAATGCAATAGAGAAAGAAGGCATTTTGGGCAAAATACAATGGAGAAAAGTGTAAAGGTTTCGGCAAAATAAACATGTTGGGCAAAATACAATAGAGAAAGAAGGCGTTTTGGGCAAAATACAATGGAGAAAAGCGTAAAGGTTTCGGCAAAATACATACAAAAGAAAACATGTTGGGCAAAATACAATAGAGAAAGAAGGCATTTTGGGCAAAATACAATGCATTTTGGGCAAAATACAATGGAGAAAAACGTAAAGGTTTCGGCAAAATACATAGAAAAAAAAACATGTTGGGCAAAATACAATGGAGAAAAAATTGCATTTTGGGCAAGATACAATGGAGAAAAGCGTAAAGGCTTCGGCAAAATACATACAAAAAAAAACAATGTTGGGCAAAATACAATAGAGAAAGAAGGCATTTTAGGCAAAATACAATGGAGAAAAGCGTAAAGGCTTCGGCAAAATACATACCAAAAAAACATGTTGGGCAAAATACAATAGAGAAAGAAGGCATTTTGGGCAAAATACAATGGAGAAAAGCGTAAAGGTTTCGGCAAAATACATCAAAAAAAACATGTTGGGCAAAATACAATAGAGAAAGAAGGCATTTTGGGCAAAATACAATGGAGAAAAGCGTAAAGGTTTCGGCAAAATACATACAAAAAAAACATTTTGGGCAAAATACAATAGAGAAAGAAGGCATTTTGGGCAAAATACAATGGAGAAAAGCGTAAAGGTTTCGGCAAAATACATACAAAAAAAACATGTTGGGCAAAATACAATAGAGAAAGAAGGCATTTTGGGCAAAATACAATGGAGAAAAGCGTAAAGGTTTCGGCAAAATACATACAAAAAATGTTGGGCAAAATACAATAGAGAAAGAAGGCATTTTGGGCAAAATACAATGGAGAAAAGCGTAAAGGTTTCGGCAAAATACATACAAAAAAAACATGTTGGGCAAAATACAATAGAGAAAGAAGGCATTTTGGGCAAAATACAATGGAGAAAAGCGTAAAGGTTTCGGCAAAATACATACAGAAAAAACATGTTGGGCAAAATACAATAGAGAAAGAAGGCATTTTGGGCAAAATACAATGGAGAAAAGCGTAAAGGTTTCGGCAAAATACATACAAAAAAAAACCTGTTGGGCAAAATACAATAGAGAAAGAAGGCATTTTGGGCAAAATACAATGGAGAAAAGCGTAAAGGTTTCGGCAAAATACATACAAAAAAAAACATGTTGGGCAAAATACAATAGAGAAAGAAGGCATTTTGGGCAAAATACAATGGAGAAAAGCGTAAAGGTTTCGGCAAAATACATACCAAAAAAAACCTGTTGGGCAAAATACAATAGAGAAAGAAGGCATTTTGGGCAAAATACAATGGAGAAAAGCGTAAAGGTTTCGGCAAAATACATACAAAAAAAACATGTTGGGCAAAATACAATAGAGAAAGAAGGCATTTTAGGCAAAATACAATGGAGAAAAACGTAAAGGTTTCGGCAAAATACATAGAAAAAAAAACATGTTGGGCAAAATACAATAGAGAAAGGTCGCATTTTGGGCAAAATACAATGGAGAAAAGCGTAAAGGTTTCGGCAAAATACATACCAAAAAAAACATGTTGGGAAAAATACAATAGAGAAAGAAGGCATTTTGGGCAAAATACAATGGAGAAAAGCGTAAAGGTTTCGGCAAAATACATACAAAAAAAAACCTGTTGGGCAAAATACAACGGAGAAAAACTTAAAAGTTTAGGCAAAATACACAGGAAAACAATTTTTGTTTGGAAGAATATAAAAGAAAAAAAGGCATTTGAGGCAACCTGCAATGGAGAAAAGAGTAGGGGTTTCGGCAAAATACATACAAAAAAATGCATTCTGGGCAAAATACAATGGCCAAAAATTACATTTGGGGCAAAATGCAATGGAGAAAGCGTAGAGGTTTCGGCAAAATACATACAAAACAAACGCATTCTGGGCAAAATACAATGGAAACAAATTGCATTTGGGGTAAGATACAATGGAGAAAAGCTTAAAAATTTAGGCAAAATACACAGGAAAACAATTTTTTTTGGAAAAGTATAAAAGAAAAAAAAGGCATTTGAGGCAACCTGCAATGGTGAAAAGAGTAGGGGTTTTGGCAAAATATAAAAAAAAGAAAATGCATTCTTGGCAAAATACAATGGAGAAAAATTGCATTTGGGGTAAGATACAATGGAGAAAAGGTTAGAAAAGTTTAGGCAAAATAGACAGGAAAACAAAATCGTTTATTTGGAAAAATATAAGAGAAAAAAAGGCATTTGAGGCAACCTACAATGGTGAAAAGAGTAGGGGTTTCGGCAAAATACATACAAAAAAATGCATTATGGGCAAAATACAATGGCCAAAAATTACATTTGGGGCAAAATGCAATGGAGAAAGCGTAGAGGTTTCGACAAAATACATACAAAACAAATGCATTCTGGGCAAAATACAATGGAGAAAAATTGCATTTGGGGTAAGATACAATGGAGAAAAGGTTAGAACAGTTTAGACAAAATACACAGGACAACAATTTTTGTCTTTTTTATCGACGCGGCACAGAAATTTTTGTCGAAGATTGGAAAATAAAAAAAGTTTTTTTTTTTTATCAATGCTTTTTTATTTTTGTAAACGATTGGGAAAAGAGATTTTGGTCGAGGATTGGAAGGTAACAATCAAACCCAAACCGTTTCGCTTCTGAATCCACGACTTCTCTCTCCTCGTTTCAGATTTGCACCAGACTTCCTTCGAGTCGCTGCCAGGCACTCCGCCTAGCGCTGAGAGAAGGCCATGCAGTCGTCAACGAACGATGGTGAGATGTAACAGTTAATAGTGCCATGTTTCAAAACAGTTTTGTTGTAGTTTAGTTCCATAAGACAGTGTCATAGAACTCTAGATTAGATTTTTGTGACTGTTTTGAACTTTGTTTGTTTTTCGTGTGTTGTGACTCATTTGAACTTTGCGCTTTACGTGACTTGATGTCCAGTTGATGCGGTAGCCAAGTGTTGGCCTGATTGATGCAAGCAAAACTCACCATTGTCCTGCGTGTTTGGCACTTTTGGCTAAGCAGATTTTAACCGCCACAAGTGCGGGACTTTATTTTGACTGTGATGGGCTGCAGCGGCAGCAAGCCGTCCGCGTCGGAGCCGCTCCATGGCCATGGGCTTCCCACCTTGCTGACTGCTCCCTTGGGAGGCAGGAAACCACTGAAGCGCAAAGGAGGCCTTGACGTCTCGTGCCATGCGTCTGAGGGTTCCAAGTGGCATTCGGAGCTCCTGGCCGTGAGCGCCGACTTGAAGGAGAAGCTGCAAGATCCGCAGTTCGTGGCAACCCGTTGCGACTTGGATGGCTCGGGAGATCTGGATCCGCACGAGTTGAAACAAGCGGCGCGGGTCTATGGCATCTCCTTCAGTGGCAGCTCAGCAGAGAATGATGACGATGGCAGTGTTGATCTCGAACTTCTGATGGATGGGCAGCCGCGCATTAGCAAAGAACGCTTTGCTGAAATGGTGGCCTCTCAACAGCGAACCACTTCGATCAGAGCCTTTGAATGAATTGAGTCGAAGTTTTGATAGGTTGGTAGGTGCCCAGAATATTTGCAGAATGTCTGAACATCTGAATGCAACGTTCGGCTAGTGGTAGATTTGCTGCAATCTTTCCTAGGTAATTGGCACTGAGTTTGGATACGCTATAGCACTTTTGGAAGTACTCGCGTTTGGAATGAAAACCGATGAAAGATGTAAAGATGAGCGTTAAAACATGAATTTACACCAGGATAGATTGGTGCCCATGGAGATGATTCAGGTTGCTCTTGGGATATCTGCAATGCAGAAAGATGACTGTGTTGGGTAGTCTTGCGTTTTTGATGCTGTTTGGAATGTGAAGACCAAAACAACTTTTGAGCCTTTTGAGCAGTGTTTTGATTTCCAGCTGAGTGAGGAACGGTTCCGCACTCCCTGCGGGGGATGGCATTGGGTCAGCTGCAACACCTGGAAACTTTGTTCATCAAGAGTGGGTGGTTAGCTGCACAGTGCGAAGTCTTCAACACGGAGAACGCCCAAGCCATTGCGAACGGCACCAAGTTCAGGCAAAACCCAAACTTGTATGCCTTGGACGCCTTCGTGGTGACTCCTATGTCAAAGCCAGGGACTTGCAAAGCCCGTGAGAACGACAAGCTGCAAACGATTGCGGAAGCACGTGGAATGTCATCTTTCTCCGAGCTCGTAAATCCATGTGGCCTCATGGTTCACTGCTTCGTGTCCCACTTCTGGGGCCATGACTTTAGCAGCACCGTGACGGCTCTGGACTTATGGGCAAAGGCAAATTATCACAGAATAACTTCAGAGAAAGAGTCTTTGGTCTATTGGATCTGCCTATTTGCTTTGAATCAGCACAAAGTGGCTGAGGAGGTTGGAGAAAATCCTCGGGAGGGGCCATTTAATGCGGCATTGGCGCAAGCAACTGGTGGTGCAGTGATGGTTTTAGATGAGGAAATTCGGCCGTTCAGTCGTCTGTGGTGTTTGTTTGAGATTTCTCGTTTGAAGGACTTGCAGCAACCCTTCGAATTGATTTGTATTGATTTGTAGCGAAGGTTCTTTGTCCCAGCCTGAGATATGTGGAAACCAAGCTGTGAGCATCGAAATGCTCGAAGTCACATGTGAGGCGTTGTGGAACGTGTCAGCCGCCAAGGCTCAAAGTTCAGTGGCGGCCGACAAGTACCAGATCTGGTCTGAAACCGCCAACAAATGTTTCAGGGGTAACATAGATGGATTGGGTGCCCAACACTTCTTCCAGAGTTACATGGACCGCAACGGAGCCAAACTGTTGGAAGGTGTGTTCTCAGATTTCAACAACTACATCAAGTCCTTGCTGTCCACCACGATGCTTCAGCTCCTTCTGGCCAGGGGCCAACGTGAGGCGGCGGCAAAGTGCTGCGTTTACGGAGCGCAGTTCGGTTCTGAGGAGCTGATGGAAATCTGCAGCAGTTTGCAGGAAACTGATCGGAAAGATTGGCTAAACTGTTTGCTGATGCAGGCATCAAATGCATCCACAGCACAGCTGTTATTGGAGCATCGTGCTGATGGAGCGGCAGCAAGCAAAGAAGGTGTCACAGCACTGCATGAAGCTGCCTATCATGACCACCGGGCTGTGGCCGAGTTGCTGTTGGAGCACCATGCTGATGCAAGGGCAGCAGACAACAGTGGAGTCACAGCGCTCATGGGTGCTTCTCATGCTGGCCATGTGGCTGTGGTGGAGCTGCTGTTGGAACACCGCGCTGACGTAAGGGCCGCACGGAATGATGGTAGCACAGCACTGATGGCTGCTGCTGAAGGTGGCCATGTTTCTGTGGCGAAGCTGCTGTTAGAGCGTGGTGCTGATGTTCAGGCAGCAGATAACAACGGTGCGACAGCATTGATGTGGGCTTCTGCAGGTGGTCACATGGCTGTAGCTGAGCTTCTCAAGGTGCATGCTGCTGGTCGAATCCGTTCACTGTGGCGCTGGCTTTTTCGATAGGATCCGGGATTTCAGCAAAAAACGTTGAAGAGTCGTATCAAAGAATGCGCAGAAAAAAAAGATGCTGTCCAAACAGTTCTGTAATGTTCTCGAAAGATTTGGGTGACTGGTGAATTCACAGTGACATTCAGTATATTGACTTGATGGTCAAAGAAACACAGTTTTTTTTTTTAAATATTTTTTATGCATTATGTTTATCATTAAGAACAACCATGAGCAGAACCTGCTGCAATTTCTCGCAGGCTGTGAGCTGCTCTCGACGCCTTGGACTTCGGATTTCTTGCATTCGAAAAACCGATCGAAGCTTTGCCGAAGCCCAAACGAACCAAACGAACCAATCTCTGAAGGCTAGAAACTGCTAGAAATTGAAACTTTTGAAACTTTGAGACATGATTTTCTTTTGAACATTTCGGATGCTGAGCATTGATGAATCAAGAGTATGCAAATCACTTTGGATGAGGCACTTGATGCAATTCACAGACAGCCATGACTCCTTGAACTTTTCGTGACCTCGTGTGGATGCGATTCCCAAGGTGCCTGGGTGTGGTTTTGAGTGTGGCAGATGGCGGTTTTTGTGTTTTTGGAGTCAGATTTGGATACCCTAATCGCCTGCCACTTGATTGGTTTATCGGTTAATCGAAACTCGAAGGTAAGGAATTGAAGTGTTTTGGACCGAACCAAGTGCCTGTAGATGTGCCTAGTACTCAGGCCAACCAAGTGTTGCTTAGTTAGAACATGTTTGAACTGTTGCTGTGGTTTAAAGTTTAATAGCTTGATGGTCCTTGATCTTATTACAGGTGCCAGTAGCCAGCCTTCATCGTTTTTTGACCTCGGGTTGATTCACTGCGGCTCTTGCAGAGGCCTGATGCCAGGGAAATCTGCTGCATTGTGGCGATAGAGCCAAGGCGTGGTCTGTCAGTTTGTTCCAGGGTCCTGTTGGCTTCATGTGGCACAGGTAGTTTTTTTTGTTTCAATGGTGTTCTAATGTTGTTTCGTGATGTTTCGTGATGTTTCGTGTTGTGTTTTTCTTTCTGTGAGATACTTCTTTGTTGAAATGTATTGGTTTCACCCTTTGGACATTTTGATATATTTTTGCCGAGAGTTGCTCGGAAAGCTTTGGCTGAGTGGCGCCTATTTCATGTCTCTACAAAGCACTCCTGCAGCACTCACGTTTGTCTAAGTTGCTGTACATCACTGTGAGAGATTTATCTCCGAATGTCTTGCAAACGTGGGACTTCCCAGCATTTCCTTGCACGCTACTTCGATTCTCATGACTGGCATGTGCATCGGCCTTGATCTCCCGTTGTTTCAGGCTCTGCTGTCAGCCTTGCACCCCTTCGAAGACAGCGGTCTTCGGCCACGGAGCCAAGGCCTTGAATGGCCGGTCATAGCTGGGTCCCGTTCTTTGAGTTTGAAATGCGTCTGAATCCCGAGTATAGCATCATTGAACAAATGGGTATAAATTTGTTTCTTGTGAGCTCCTTGCACTTGCCGGACCAGCTACCAGGTGTCTTTGCTCGGTTCCTTTGAAGTTCTCGAAGAGTGTCAGGCTTGGGCCTCACAAAATCTATCCAGTGTCAGTCCTTGCTTCCTCGAAAGAGCAGTCCTGATGTGTCTTAGCACAGCCAATCCCTCTACTCTGTAATTCTCTCTATCAACTTCTGATGCGTACGAGAAAGATGTAGAATCCAAAACTGTCATCCCACGCTTCACTTGGCTGGACTTTTCCTCGAAGTTGTTTTTGATGTCCTTCACTCGGATACTTTGGAAATTTTAGAATCGGAAGACCAGTTAGATTTCGATATTTTCCCTGATTCAGGTGTTGCGCCGGAATCACCGGGATGAATCGCAGCCTCCATCAGCCGTTCTCAGCTGGTGAGGCGGGGATGGGACTGTCAGCTTACATCGCAGCTCAGCAATTCTCAGCACTAATCGGTATACATGGAACTGTGTCGGTGGATCTGTGGAATTTGAAAGCTGAAGTTCGCGGAAGCACACGGGGATACCCTCTGGTGAACTAACATAGCAATGGAAAATCACCATTTTTAATAGGAAAATCCACTATTTCTATGGCCATTTTCAATAGCAAAATGTTAGTTCACCAGAGGGTATGTCTTTTTGTCACTGTCACAGATCTCAGATTGCATGCTGCTTGACGTTCTTCGGGGCCTTGAAGACAACTACTTCGGGCTTCATATCGAGGCGGGGGGCATTGTAGGTCATGCAGGTTTTGCATTTCTCTTTTGCGAGATTTTTCTGTCTCTTTGTTGATACTGTGGAGATTTGTTCGGAAAGCTGTGGCTGCCTTTTCCCTACAAGCCACTCTCAAGATGTTCAAGCCACTCTCGAGTGTGTCTGTTGCATGAGAGACTCATTCTACATGTGCCCTATAGAGCCTTTGGTCCAGGTCAAATTACGTCCCTTCGTCCAAAATACGCCCCTTTCAGAAAGACATTTTTCCCCTAGCTGCCAGGTGAGGGGCATCTAGGTTTTAAGTTTTAACAAGGGTGTGCCTCACTCACTCTTATGCACTCCTACTATATTCGCTCCTTCTCTTCGTTTCTTCCTCTGCCAGCTCGTCATGGCTGTGGGCATCAACGGATCCGAGCCATGTTGCGCTCTGAATGCAGTGGGCCACGCCTGGACCCGAACATAGAATGTCAGAATAGATGCCAGAAAGACTGCTAGATAGAATGTTCGAACATATTATGAACATGTCAGATAGAATGCCAGAAAGAATGTTGGAAAATGCCAGACAAATTGCCAGAAAAAAGTAGATGCCCGAAAAATTGCCAGATAGAATGTCAGAACATACGTTTGCATGTCAGAGGAAAAAGTCAGAATAAATATCAGATAGAGTGCAGGAAAGAATGCCAGATAGAATGTGTGAAAATATGCCAGATAAAATGAGAGATAGAATGTCAGCGGTCAGCGCATATGCCAGAAAAAATGTCAGATAGAATGTCCGTCAAATAGAATGCCGAAAAGAATGCCAGATAGAATGTCACTTGGTGGGGATCACAATTTTAACAATAATGTTTTGAGTTATTTCATCAAATCGAGCCATGACTTGGAGACAAAGGTCTCTGTATGTGCTTGTCAAACAAGACTTGAGACCTCGGACTGGGCAAGAATCCTTGTGCACAGTTGGTCGTTTCAGCAATCCAACCGGGTATCGGTTGCTTACGGAGCGACAACATTCCCATCAAACCACCATACAGACATGCAATGACATGCATATAATGACTATTTAAGATTTCTGTCCTTGTCCGTGAAGGAAAATGAGGGAAACACCATTTTCATAGAAATCTGTTCCATATAACAATATTCGTCTTGCACGAATCACCTGAAAACAAAGTAGTGAACAGGCCTTTTGGCCAGAAACAGTCGCCTTTTGGTCGGGAAATGTCGGATATTCACAAGACGTTTTTGCAAATTTTGGAAATGGTACAAAAACATCGGCAGTGGGGAACAAGTCGCCTTTAGACCTTCAAAAAGGCACACTTATCTGCCCGAAAAGGACAAACACAGGAACAATCACAAAGATGCAGGTTTTAGCAATTACTAAAAACAACCTTATAAAGATAGTGCTAGAATTACGTATTGGCTACGTAACTACCAACATGTTTGCAGGATTAATTACGCATTTTTTTACACCCTCTTACGGACTCTTACGGATTGCGGGTCCACCTAGGTACTTCCAGAAAAGCTTCTCCCAGATGTCCTTATCTGAATTGAACAGCACATCTTTATGAAAATTGACTAGAAACCATTTAGTAGCTATTTATTGGAAGTTAATTTCACCTTGATTGCTGTTCATTGAATGAAGTCCCGACACTGCACTTTGGAGCGGGGGTGGTAGGCTTTGGGGGCTAAGACTGGCTGGATGCCCAAATGCTTGCAGTGTTTAGGTCCGAACTGGATAGGGTCAAGGAAAAGGATACGCATTGTCCTGTGTCCCTGGGTCAAGTTGTATGTACTTGCGTGAAATTGGAAGATCTTGGAAGTTGCCTTTGATTTTCTTCAGATGCTGGCCGGAAGGAAAACAAGCTCCATGTTTCCACACGTTTCCTTGCCTGAAGCGTGGTTGTACTTGACTCCTGGCATGAACCGAAGCCTCAATTGGCTGAGAGCTTCAAAGAGATCATGTGGCCATATCCACAACAGTGACACCAAAATTGCAGGGTTACAACACGCTTTATGAAAGCAAATCATACCGATATCAAAATTCCATCCAGATACTGCAATGATGTTCCGTCCGGTGGGTTTGATCGAAACATAAAGTCCTTCAATATTTCCTTATCTAGGAGGCTAGTTCCCAAGATTCGGCGACTTGTGACATTCTTGAGCAACGCTTTACCTAGCCATGGCGAAGTGGTCACTTCTTTGGCCTTTGACTTTCGGCGTCGCCAGCGCGCGAAGTTCTGAACCCACTGCGCTGCCCGGTGTTCGGACGGTTTTGGCATGTTTTGGGCCCATCTCCTCAACCCCACAGCTAAATTCAATTGACGGAACAACATCTTCATTCATCGGCGTCGCGCCTGTTTCCTCTTGTTGGGCCTCAGTTGAATTGACGCTGTTCTTTTATCAATTCTCCATGGGATGTTCTCCACTTGACACCTTTGGACTGCGAAATATCACCCATTTTCACCTCTGGACGGCCATGGAGTTGTCATGGCCTTGCCATAGCCGAGCTGAGCCCAGGTTCTGTAGTGATGACATCGCTTATCTTCAAACCAAGGCGACAGGGTCTGCAGAGGACGTTGGAAATCATGGGAAATCATCGGAAGACGAGGGACCGACATGACATGTTTTGGTACCCCAGCTCTACAAGCTCTATATCAGGAGGGTCAAGCTTATGGAGTGTGATGTTGGGGCCAAGTCTTCAGAACTGACAGCCTTCAGACCGATGTTTCTTGCTGTTTTCGTCTTTTTTCCAGGCCAGCCGGGCAATCTGTGACCCGGATGTCCTTAACTCTGGCCTCATGGCAGCAGCCTTGCCATGATTTTCCCATCTGATCAACTGAAGCTTGGAGCCATTCAGCCGCCAAGGTCGATGTGTTGGTGACGGCGCTTGCTTCGGCTGTGTGCCTGCCTCGGACGGCCAGAAGATTCCCACCGACGACATCAACGGCTTTCCGACCGGCTTCCTCCTGTGCGAAAACGACCCAGGCCGCTTGGCTCAGGGGGGCGGGTGGCAGCTGCATGGTAAAAAAATGCTGTGATGATCGGTAAACAGAACTGGCGTGCAGAGCTGACTATGTGTAATTTTGCTGACCTGACTTCAAACAAATTAGTTGCCCTATGGATTTTCATGCTAGAATACTAGAGGGATCTGATCTAGAGGATAAGTCTTCCGTCTTCGAAGTCTTCCCAACTTGAGATGGGTCAGCCGGCGCACCCTGGCAGATGTCTTTGAAGCGGCGACGTGTACCATCTCCAGGGACTCTCCGTTCGCCTACAGCTTTCAGAACCCCAAGAACTACTTGCAGTGCACCGACAGTTCAGTAGCATGGCACTGCAACGAGATCCGCTTGGCTCAATTCCAATCCAATGGATCCAATGGGATGCATAGAAAAGCAACTCATGTTTGGAATGTTTATATTTGGTAAGTTTAACGGGGGTGGGAGAATTAAACCCTATTGAAGATCTTCAATGAATGTAGAAGTTTAACGGGGGTGGGACTGTAATATTCCCTCATACCTTTGTTGATCTTCCCAATTGAATGTAAAGTTTAACGGGGGTGGGAATTTATATTCCTAATACCCTTGTTGATCTTCCCAATTGAATGTAAAGTTTAACGGGGGTCGGAATTTATATTCCTTCAAAATCCCTAAGAAGTTGTGTGGGCGAACTGGGGGGTTTGCGCGTAATTTTACTATAGCAACTTGATAATTTCCAATCCAATGATATGTTTATAGCAACTCCAATCTTCACAATTTTGAACAGTAACATTGCCATGCTTTGAATTCATCTGTTTCTGTTTTCGGAACGACACGTGCATACTACAGGTGGGTTAAAGGTCTTGTGAATTGATTTGTTGACCAATTCCATGCACTGCAACCTTTAAAAGTCAGCTTTATGCGTGCCCATGTCGCCCATGTCATCCTGGAACCCAGTCCAGGCTTGTTACAATTGGCGCGTCAAAGACTTTGCAGCTCTCTGCTGTGATGGCAATTCCGCATGCCGGACGGATGAGCGAGCGCAGGTGACCAACGAAGCCAACTTCGCCCTGACGTCGGGCAATCCCAACTGTCCTCCGGACGTTTGCTGCCGAGGCATCCGCGCCTGCAGTTTCCTGACCAACATTTCAGGAGTTAGCTCAGCTGCCTGTCGCAGTTTCAACGCTTGCGAGCAGGTCACCATGTTTTTGTCCAGGGACCTGTTCTGCTCGCGGCCCGCAGCTTGCAGACAGGGCATTTTCCGCTTCTCAGCGGCCGGCACCGGACCTTCAAAGCACTGCGTCCAGTGCCTCGACGCCGGTAGCCCCAGCGAGCCCTTCGCACAGCCCTGCGAGGAGAGCCAGATGTCCTTTACTGCCGGCAATGTCGAGTTGCAATGTGCCTTCAACACTTGTGGCAATTCCAACATCTCTTTGAGTGGATCGTCCTGCATCCATATCAAGTGCGAAGACAGCGTGAGTTGCGGCGGCATGAGCGTCGTCGATGGCGACTCCAGCGGCTCTCGCTGTTTCTGCAGTGGCGCTGGCTGCACCAATCTGGTGGGACCACTGACGTGCGAATCGCCGTCGACGGCAAACCCATGTTGCCTGGCTCAAAGTGCACCTAGAAGCTTTGTTTAGATCACTGGAGGTTCAGATGGGTCAGATCAATGGTTCAATGATTCAATGGTTCATGGCTCAACATGGCTCAACATGGCTCAACCAGTTTTAGATCAGTGGTGCGACCAGAGTTTGACAATACCAGTGCTTTGGGATTGCCCTTTTAGGGCCCCTAGGCCCCTAGGCCGCTGGCATCAGAGCTCCAAGATCCTCCAGATTGCTCAGCGTGCGCCTCTGGTGGAGGTGTGGTTGGCGATCCTCATATTACTACGCTGGATGGTCGACGCTACACGATGCTGCAGCAAGGGAACTTTTTGCTATGGAGCTTTTCAGGCGGATTGCAGTTTGGACATCTGTTCTATGTTGGCTTCGGGGCTTAGGAAAGCTCCGAAGCCAGTAGTTTCGCATTCCCTGAGCCGGGCACAGGAGAGGTAGGTTTCTTCAAACCACTAAGCTATGGGGTTTAAGTGGGAACGCCTGGCACAGGTTTGGATGCAGAAGTTCCATGGGCTACTCGGCTTTGAGGGCTCTGCCCTGGTTCATATTGTATTTGAAAGAGCGGATGTCGGAATGGTGGAGGGTTTTTCTAGGGAAAGACGTGGTGTTCGCGGTTGGGAAAGCAATTTTCTTCGGCCCGAAGACTTCCTGGTTTTTCTGAAATCTCGACAGATTCAACGGATCCAATTCGCCAGCGAAATCTGAGGTGAATGGCCAAATGAAGAGTCTTCGCTCAAAAGGGCTAAAGTTAAGCTTGGTGCTTGTTGTCAGTACAACGTGTTGTACTGGACATGTGTATCCATGTGTATCCATGAATCACAGGCATCGGGTCGTTAGAGTAGTTAATGGATGTTAATGGCAGTATAGCGCTTGACTCTTTTCATGAGTGTTTGAGCTTTGGAGCTTTGGGTCAGGCTGTGTGTGGCCTCAATTGGTTGAAGATTTCAAGACTTGAGAGATTGAGGCTTCATTTTCAGTGTCAACAGAAGCTTTAACTTGTTAAGTCATGTTAAGTATTGTTAAGTTTTTCTCGACACGACAAGGCTGCCACTTCAACTGAAGGCGAATTCCGCTCGATTTCCGAATCTATACCCACTACTCAGGCAGCATAAACATCGAATTTATTTCATCCTTTGCCCGTGCGTTGCTGCAGTTTCCATGTTTTTGGACAGCCGAGATTTCATTGAGTCGGATGAGGAAATTGACGAAAATTGACGAAGCACTGTTACCCTTCCTGCTTAACGTAGACCTGTCAGCCCAGTGTCGGGTCGAGCGTCCTTCACGAAAGGCATTCTGTTGGTCGACGCTCGACATTTCTGTGCTGATTTTTGTGCCAGAGACGTCGCTCAGATGCCGTTGGTGTTTTCATGTCGTCCTTAGGACCACTCTGGAGCAGCACCTCGCCAGGTGCGAACAGCGGGTGAAGGTTGTGAACCGGTTGGTTTTATGTCATTTAAACATATTTTAACTAATGTTCGGTTAATTCATTTAATGTCAATCATGCTATTTTGTTCGGTTTTTGACCGTTTTTGGCAGCTCAACTACAATGGCAGCTAGGATGAATTTGGTGAATTTCAAGTCAACGACAGTGATCGACAGGCCTTGGAAGTCACGTCTTTGGACTGCGCTTGGAAGACCAAAAGCACCGGCAGCTGGCGCCGAAGCGAGACGGAATTTCTGATCCTCGGACCATTCTGGGACATGTTCAGCATGTTTTCTCGTGAATATCAGTGATGTGTTCTATCTTTACAACATAAGGTTCTCCAACATCTTTTTTTGCAACATTTTGCAACTCCTTCTTGAAGGTCCTGGCTACTACCGAATCGACAAAAACGTGATATTTTGGTGAAATCGTTCTGGAATTATACGGGCTCAGGTTTCACTTCAGTCTTGCACCAAGGAATCATCTTCAGCAAAACTTCATTGAAAACCTCTAAGACTCTAAGTACATTTTTGTCACTCAAATTCTCCATATCGTTTTGATTTCACGGTTCTCACAGCGTCCCCAAGGGACGTGCCTCGGTGCCCCGGATGTGCGCTTCAGGAAGCTGGAAGCTGCGGGAGCAACCTTCGGAGCTTTCAACGTCACCGCTTCGCGACAGCAGCGACAGGACCTTGGACGAATTGAACGTTCCGAGGTGCAGTTCCTTGGTTTATCTATGTTTATCTTGGTTTCAGGTGCTGGATATGACGCCACCTGAGGCCGAGAGAAATGACAACATCACCATCTCGGGTAGCGAAATTGGATCTTTTGGATGCTTTTGGCGTTTTGGCGTTTCTCCAGTTTCAACCCAAACTCTACTAGAGTATATCATGAGATGTTTTGCCAGACTCGTTTCAGACCCTGACTCAGTAGAAGGGATTGAACAAAACTGAACGAAGGATGGCAAGGGCATATTCTTTATTCAAGTCGATCATTTCAATCATTTCCCTATTACAATCCTATTACAAGTGGATCAAATGGTACTTTCCCATTGCTATCATTGCTGCATGTCTTCAGTCGCTCTCGAGCTAAGTTTCCGCAGCTAGGCTTTTGATGCGACAGAAGGGATGGACCAGAATTGCGCAGCTGCGGGTCACTTGCAAGCCAGGTGCCCCCGGTGGCCCCGGTGGGGTGCTATCGGATAGCAACATGATTCTGATATATTCTGATGCAACATGCAATGATCATTGCAACACATCCCAGGCCAAAGGGATCCAAAGGGATCCAAAGGGCAAGTTTAAACCTCGACATGTAGAAATAAAAAGAAATACGAAGTTTAACCATGGTGGGCCCCGCCTATCTTTTTCTGGCGCCTGTTAAGCCGGAATATTCTTCTGGACTCATGCGCAGCAGTGTAGGTGGAGCTGACTTTGATAAAATCGAACATACCCTCTGGTAAACTAACATAACTGGAAAATCACCATTTTTAATGGGTAAATCAACTATTTCTACGGCCATTTTCAATAGCTTTTTGTATGTTTACCAGGCCGGGTAAATGGATCCCAAAACATGGTGCCCCATGGTGCCTCCAAAGCTTTGACCATGGGAAGGTCTGGGACTTATGTTATGTGAAGTGCGCACGGCGCACCTGATTTTGTTTCGAAGTCTTCTTCCTGCTATGGAATGCGTTTTAATGTTGATGGAAAGTACAGGATGTTTAAGCCTCTTTCAAAAGTCTTGCCTAGCCGTCTGCAGGATAGACAAGAGAACAATGCGCAGTAAAACCTTGCCTCGGTATGTCATAAGCGTTCCATGGCATTCATTCCGTTACGCTTTGGAGAGTTCCTACAGATCAGCACGATCAGCTGAAGTCGGGGTAGAGTTGGCCACGCGTCAGGTCATCACATTGCCGCCAAGCTGAAGATGTCCAGTACGGCGCAGAATCGCTTCGTGAAAGGAGAACTGGCTCCTAGCGGCCACTCCACTCTCGTGGCAGGCGAGGCCGAGGCTGTCGCCCTCGGTTTTAAGCTCGGCCATGGCTTTTGAGTACGAAGTGCGAAAGGGGTAAGATGGGATAAGCAATGGTAAGTACCCAGATTCGCTGGACATTTGTTGACTCATGATCTTTGTTGGCCGTGTCCATGCAGGCCTCGTGGGAATTCATGTGTCATCTTGATTTGTCTGATAGAATGCTGGCTTTCTAAGCACATCTCTCTTCTGAATTGGGGTGGCTGGAGGGGGTGCTCACGAACCCACCCAGTTCAACTAAGCATCAACCTGGCCATGGTGTAGGTTTGAAGGGTGGACGACTGGCTTTTGTGGCGAAAGACACAGAGCCCCTAGCCTTGCAGGGAGCAGAGTCGTTTTTGTTTGAATATATGATGGTCATACAGGATGGTGCCCCCCAGTTATAATTTGGTTTATAACCCCCATTAACTACAGTATACTATAGTTATATCTACCATAAACCATAGTTAAGTCACTTATAAGGCAACCTAGCTATCTTGGGGGCCCCATCTTGTAGGTTTCACAATGTTTCACAGCAGATGTCGAGGTTTGCGGCGGACAGCTGGAGGGACTTGGGTGGAAGCCAGGAGGCGGCAACGTACTTGGCATCGACAGGACGGGGAAGATGGTCGTTGGTCGTTGGAGCGTTGGTCACGGTTGGAATGAGATGGACTCTGATGGTTTTTATGATGGATTTTTGGTGATGTTTTTGTATTTTTGGTGAGGTATAAAAACGTCGATCGAACAAGTCGAAGATTCGGGAAACGATGAATAAACGATGAATAAACCAACCATACCAACCAGGGTGAAGCTGTGGCCCCCAACATGGTTTTCGGTGATCGCAGGAGCTGAAGGATGGGAATTTCTCTCGCGCTGCGAAGGGCCAGAGGAGACCGCAGCTCTGGCAGTTTGCCAAAAGCACTGGGCTCTGGCCAAAGCAGCTGGAGATTCGTCGAAATTCGTTGATTCTCGGAACGAGGTTGAGCAGAAGGCCAATTTCTTGGCTGATTGTGCTTTTGACGTTTGTGCTGGTGGTGAATCTGCCGCCCAGCTTGCAGCAGATCTGCTGAACTTTGAATAGGCCATGGCTGCAGGCCTTGTAGAAAGGCTCTGGGTCTCCTGGAAACGGATGGAAGCAGTGAGGCACATGCGTCCTTGAGCCGCGTGCTTATCAATTATTACCCACTGAATTCGTGAGTTGGAAGCAATTGCGCGTGATATATAATCTGCGTTGACACCAGTGAAGAGCGCAGATCAACGCAGATGACGTGGCTGCTGTGACTGCTTCTCCCTCCGCGCCAGAATCTTTGAGCAACAAAACTCCAAATCTTTCTGCAGTTGTCAGAGTGACATCGAGCTTTGATCAGTCCTTTTTTTTAACCACAGGTTAGCAGAGTGCCTTGCTTGTGACATGTTGAAATTCAATTCAGATGGAAATTTTGCACAGCTATTGGCTATGGATATGTCATCGAAACAGGTCCGAGCCTCCTTGCATCAAGAAACTCGGAGTATTGGCAGAAACTCGGCAGCTCGTGGTGACTTGAATAGTTTACATGTTTATACATTTTGCATTTTGTTCGTCATGTTTTGCGATGGCTGATGTGGTCAGTCATGTTTGCCGATTTGGTGCTGAAATTGGTCATGAATGGTTGAACGGTTCATCATGATCTCGACACACTCGTTTTTCCCAGCTCTTGAGTGTCTTCAGGTGAGAACTGGGGCATGTGATGGCGCAAAAATCAATGGATTTTCATGGCATTGCAATAGCTGTGGCTTGGCATAAGCACGTTTACTGTTTAACGGACATGTTGGCACAGATGGTAACCGCATTTAACGGTGGCACTCAAACAGTTCCCCACAAGCCTTGTTTCCCATCCTGGGTTTAGGCGAACATTTAGATGATCAATGGTTGGACTATTTTCCCAGGTGTTGTTTAATGATTGTTTCTAAAGCTTTTTTTTCCGTTAAAACTGTTTTCATTGAAACAAACAATCATTGTTGTTCATGGTTTCACGTTTTTTTTCACCATCAGGTAATTGAAAAAACCATCCCACTGATTGTTGTTGATGTCGTTCTCTGTGCGTTTCTGCTGATTTAACATGTCTTGCCAAGTCATAACTGTAACTCGACCACCTGCTATGACCAAACCAAGCCTTGCAAGATTTGTGGTTCGTGGATATAATGGGACAAGGTATCATGGTAGATCATGGTAGTATTATAAATGGGCTAACGCCCTGGTGCTGCCGAACCCCCTTTCAAGGGGGGCATGGACTACTGGATATGTTTCCCGATATGTTTGCCAATGTGATGCAAGAGAATGTTGTTTATGAATGTGGTGGACATTGGTGGGCGACTTAACAGGCGACTGGGATGACTGGCCCGGCAGCTCTTGTGCTCGGTTGCTGCTTGCTTTGGCAGCGTACTTTGGTGACTCATCGGCGTGCCGGACCAGGTGTCTTGGTGTCTTTGCTCGGTCCCTCTGCAGTGCTCCAACATTTCGAAGGCTTGGGTTGGCTTGGGTTGGACAAAACTGGAAAGATACATTTTGGATGAACCGTTTTTTGGGGTTTCCCAGGTTTTGTCAGATCTGATTACAAGCTGGGTAGGATGTAAATCAACACGTAGAGCTGTCATCTCATGCTTCACTTGGTCGGACTTAGTTTGGACATTGCCGATTTTCTTCACTTGGAAACGGATGCGTTTCGGAAGGACGACCAGTCGTTTTCCACGTTTTCCTTGACTGGAATCTCGGCTGGTCGATGGACCATGCGCGTAGGTCACTTCTCTTTCTGTCACTAGTGTAACAAATCGAATATGCCACCATGATGCGGAGTCCTGCTCCATCCAGGCGCCAGTGGTTTTGGGTTTGGATTGCTGAAATCGCCTCGGTTGCCCTGCCAGTTGTTTGGCCTCCCGAAACCTTAAGGGCCTAAGACTCGAATTCTGTGGGGTTCTTTGTAGGTCATGTAGGTTTTTGCATTTCTCTTTTGCGAGATTTTTCTGTCTCATTGTTGATACTGTGGAGATTTGTTCGGAAAGCTGTGGCTGAGAGCCTTTTTCCCTACAAGGCACACTCAAGATGTTCAAGCCACTCTCGTGTGTGTCCGTTACATATAGTCTAGAGCCTTTGGTTCCGGTCAAATTACGCCCCTTCGTCCAAAAGACGCCCCTTTCAGAAAGACATTTTCCCCGGCTGCCAGGTGAGGGGCATCTAGGTTTCAACAAGGGTGTGCCTCACTCACTCCTATTCACTCCTACAACATTTACATATGTTACATATGCTTACTCCTTCTCCTCTTCGTTTCCTGCCCCTCTTCGCCTTTGATTTTCGACTTTGCCTGCGGCACGGTTTACATCTCCTGAACTTCCGTTTCTTCGACTTTTCCTTCCCACCGCATGCACGCACTTCTTCCGTCTTCTGCCCATCTTCACCTTTGAACTGTTTCATGGCCTTCTCATCTACATCGTCACTACATTCACCTCGTCGTGTCTTTTACTCATTTTACTCGTTCCAACGCAACATGAAGGCCATTGATGATTTTCGTTTGTTTAGCAACCCTCGCCTCCCAACTCCAGCTGTGCCTTGCTCGGCGCCTCCTGCCCCAAGGTCTCAGTGATCATTGGCGGCTTGTAGATGAACAGGTGCACCAGCCGATAGATGTATCTGTTACTATCTGTTGATTTGTTGACCTGAGATGCATTGCATAGCTACGAAGACTTCGAACTTAGCACATGCTGATGAACCAAAGTCATGTTCGTCAACGATGTTTTCTGAGAAAAGGGGCGGCTGCCGCGAAGAACAACGACATTTTGACGTTTTGCGCCTGCAGTGAATGGAAACCAATGGTTTTCAGTTCGAGCACGGGCATGTTGATTGGTGGGGACACATGTTGACTTTGCTTGAATCTTCCGTGGCTGCGCAGTTAGAACCCAACTGGGCCAATGTGCCCTGTCATTTGTCCAATAGCATGTTTCACATTCATCGCCTTTCGTGTAGATCTGATTTATGGAGCTCGAGCAGCTCGGGTTGATCGAGGTTTGACGGATGCTCGGCTTGAGGTCGGAGGTCTGGTGGCCTGGTGGCCCCTCTGGATGAGTGGTACTAGGCCGGAAATCAGGGCGCCCATGTGGAAGCCATGATCTAAAATGATTCTTCAATGATTCTTCATATATGAACTCCGGAACCAAGAGCGGCACTTCAAACTCCAGCTGTTGGGGTTTGAGTTGGATTTGATGGGGTTTGTCCCACTTCCAATAACCCAGCTGAGGCAGAATGACATTGACGGCCAACAATTTTGTGGTGCTGAAAGCAAAGAAAATTGCAGAATCGCCACAAGGTAAACAAAAATCACTGAATCCTTGCGCGCAGAACGTTTTTGAGCCGAGCGGCACCCGAAATCTTCTCTCACATCCCAAATTAGGTTTTTTCTTCAATAATCTATGATAACCTTGACAGTAGTAAGAACCAAATGGCAACATCACAATATAGATACCAGAACCATTGCCCAAGGTTTGTTGAGTTACTATAATCGTGTTTTGGCACTCTGGTTTCTTGTGATCATCAAGCAACAATCTCCACAAGTCTAGAATCCCTACAAGCACATCAGTTTTTTCTACGATGGTACCAGGAGATTGTTGAAGGCAAGTTGGCTCCCAGGACATTGGCTGTTTGAACAGCACATGTTTAGGGGAATGGAATACACATTGTCCAGTGACTTCAAAGCGTTTGTTGTGGACAGCATGGTGATTCCCGCTCAGGATGGCCATGCCGAAGTGAACTACCAGGCAGAGCGGAACATCGACAAAACGGGAGACCAACAGGGAAGAACACTGACACCGGAATTCTATTGGAAAAAACCATTGGAATACGCAGATCGCAGCAATTTTACGGAAAGTTCTTGAGGAAATGATGCGTCGTTGTATGTCACTTCCACATTTGGAATCACTTCAACTGGTAATCTGGGTGCACTATTGCATGGCTGCATGGCTACACATATATTTGATTACTTTCACCCAGAGGGATATTAATAAGAGATGTGATCAGCTGGTAAAGGGCCATAGCTGTGCGGCTTTTACAACATATATGATATCAAAGTATGGCTTGGATTGGGAATGGAATGGAATGGAATGAAATGAAATGCGATGGATACATAGATGAATGGGTGGATGACTGGATGGACAAACTGCAAGGCTACAAACAGAGTGAAACAACGATTTCCCACCCGACAAAACAACCACACAGCGGGACGGCAGAATTTAGGACCTTAGGTTGACAAAGGAAACCTGTCCGTGTGGAATTGATTCTAGTTATTGTGTTTGGAGTTTCAAACTCAGGCCATCGCTTCAATCAAAGGTTCTTTGATAATCAGATGAGCAGTGCCAGAAATCTGGTGTCATGCTGTTTTGTGCCCTGTAGTTGTTTTAGTGTACCTTACTGGCTTTTTGCGACCTTAATGAAAACCAGGAGTGAACACCGCATTGCTAAGAAATTAGGGCGGTTGAAAATTGCAATCGTCAAGTTTTCCAGGGTTTCTATTGAGTTCATAATGATGTTTTTAGATGTTTTTGGTACCAGGAAACCATAGGAAACCCCTGTAGTCACAACAGTAGTCGCTGTAGACCTTTGCAGAATTCAGAATCCTATTGAGTACGGAAACTCCGATTTCGCAAACTTACGGGGCATCGGTTTTTGTTGGAAGAATGAAACGCATCCGCATGGGCCCCAGCACTTCCTGAGGCTGGCCGGCATGCATTGGACCTGGACCACAAGGTCGGCGCATCTTGGGGAAATTCGAAAAGTGAGCCAGATTTTTTTTCGAATCGGAAACTATACTGATACTGTCTCTGGAGTTGGTGGCACATTTTGGACCAAGTCTGGAGGACACGAAGTAGTTGGGAAGCAGTGAAACTTGACAACTCTGTGGCATCCAATGATCCCAGAAAATAAAACCGTCAGAACTGTTTTTCGGATGTGGATCACTCGCAATCCCGACATCGGGCCCTTCCACTCTCCTGAGGGCCGGCACGCAGAAGTGAACCACGAGGTCGGCACCTCTTTTGTTGAAGCCGAAAAGTGGCATAACAGAAACGGCAAGAACTGGAACCCGAAGTAGCAAGCTGCGAGTGCTGACTTGTGGTCCAGCTTCATGTCTTGAGATGTGTCAGAGATTGAAACATTTCCAGCATTTTCCAGCAACATCTGCATTTTTAGATGAAACGAAGCTGCATTGTTTAAAGACCCAAAGGGCGACGTGAAACGTTTCGGGTCCAGAGTTGGGCCCTTGGCTTGGCAGGTCACCGCATTGGTGGAACGTGCTTGCAGCTTGGGTGGAAGTTCTGTCACTTTGCCCGGGTTTGGGGAGTTTTTTTTGGCCGCGCATCATGTGAAACTTGGATCAACTTGGTTTGAATGTACCTCCGAAACGAATCCGCTAGAGCAGGATGAAGTTTCATGGTTTGGCGAGTATTGGAGCTGAGGCCCTAAGCTCAAGAAGCAGCTGGAAGCACTGGGGTTTCGTGGCAAAGGGAATCCATGCAGATGGAAAGGTCACTTGGATTTGGCACAGATTGGATTTCCAGTTGTAGTTTTATGAGTTCATTGTTTATTATTTTTAATTTGTTTATGGTGAAGTGGGATGAGGCTGGCCATGTTTCGTGTCAGTTTTCACCTCGCCACCTAGCCCCGCGTTCAACACCTAGAACGCAGTGGAGCAAAATTCTGTAGAGACTGATTGCAATATGATCAAACCATATCAAACCCACGTCCGAGCCAAGGCATTCAATGCCGACGACGCTGCGCAGCAACAAAAATCGAGTTGAGAAATGACAAGACTCTAGCGGGGAACATTGCTGCGCTGCAAGACGTGAAGAGCCTCCAAAACTTGCGTCTCTCCGGCACCCAGGTGAGTGGTGACCTCGCAGCATTCCGCAAGCTGAAGCATTTGGAGGAGCTGCGCTTGGGCAGCACGCGCGTCACTGGCGACGTCGCGGCGCTCCAAAACCTCAAGCGCCTCCGAGTGGTACAGCTCCGTCGTACGAAGGTGACGGGAAACATGACCGTGTTGAAAGATTTGCGCGAACTGCGGGAGCTGCACCTGCATAACACGAGAGTGGTAGGAGACCTCTCAGGCATCGTGCATGCCGAACACCTGAAGATCCTTCACCTGCGCCACACGCAGATACAAGGAGATATCATGGACCTCCAGGATCTGAGATGGCTCAGGAAGTTGTGGTTGTGCAAGACCAGCGTGAGAGGAAGCATCAAGGCTGTCCAAAACCTGAAGTATCTCACGCAGCTGAGCCTGGTCGATACCAAGGTGGACGGAGACTTAACAGCGGTCCAAGATCTGAACAATCTCTTCGTTCTGTCGCTGAGCAACACCAATGTGGAGGGAGACCTTAGATCAATCAGAAATCTTGGAAAGCTTCAAGAGCTGAAGCTGACCAACACCAAAGTGGAAGGCAGCATTGCAGCGCTGCAGGACCTCACGAGCCTCAAGACATTGAGCTTGGGAAACACCAGGGTCACGGGAGAGATCGCTGTGGTGATGCAGTTGGACCACTTGGAGCTGTTGGATTTGGCCGGGACGGCCGTGACGGGCTGGATCAGTGCCATATGGAACGGTTGCTGCAAGAAGCTTCGGAAGGTCAACTTGGCAGTCCTGGGCTGAGCCACGGGGAGCCAAAGCAGTGCGCAGTCAGACTACATCATGTTCAAGCTCTATCATCATGTGGTTTCTAGGGTCCATTGTCCATTGTACCATATTGTACCTACATTGTTACATGTAGCAAGACTAAATTTGCTTTTCTTTTCCTTGGCCAGTTGTTTGGGTGAGCAAAGTGCTGATTTGTTTTTTTTTGCGCTGAGGGCACGGCTTCAGGGCCTCTGCTAGCTTTGGAAGGCACTCCAGAATTCTTCGGTGCAAAACCTTTGTTGCCAGCTTTGCAGATTCTCAATGCAGATGCCTTAGTTGAACCTAAAAGTTGTTCGACTTTGTTTGCACATTTTGTTCGAGCAGAAAGCGTGAAGAGAAAGATCATCGCATTTTCCTTTCCAGCTGGTTTGTGTTCCATTGTGTTCCGGTGCAAAGCTGAAGATTTTCACAAGGTGAGTGGCTGCCAGCTCAACGGTTCGTTGGCAGATTTGCTTGTGCCTTTGGCCGACACACCCGCGACCTCGATCGCAGCCTCTGGCTGTGGGCTTAGTGGTGCCGTGCCAAACCTGATAGAAATGTCTGTCCGATTGAATGGAATCGCCTACGCAAGTTTTCGCACAAAACTGGCACAGTCCATCCAAACCCTTGATATTTCGGCAAATCGGCTGAGCTCCATAGCCTCACTGCCCGCAGCTTTGCGCGTGGACCTCCGGCAGAATGCAGTGCCTCTCAAAGTGAAGCCATACACGCTGCAAGAAGCTGTGCAACGTGGCATTGAGCTTTGGCTCGATGGCACCGCCCTGCAAAACCCTGAGGATTTGCAATACCTGGTGAATCATGTGCTGCGCCTGCGGCCTGAGTTCGCAAAGAGCCGGTGGAGCTTTGCCTGCAGAGAGCTGGTGGAGCCCACCCTCCGGGTCACGCCTCACATCTTTATGCCGGAAGAGATGTGTGCCTGTCAAGCAGGTTTCCATGGCTTTGCTGCCGACTGCTCGCCGTGCCCTAGCGACACGTACAGCACAGAAACTTGACTTTAGGTTTTACCTTTTCCTTCACATCCTGGGGAAAATGTCTGAATGTGTGCCTTGGGTTTCTTCAAACTCAGGGATTGTTTTTGTACGTTGATTTGGCGTGCATCTTGTTCGCTCAGGAACCAAACTCGCCCAGTTGCCAGAAATGCCCACTGAACAGTACCTCCAAGAACACATCAGGGTCCTGGCAGCTTTGCCAATGTGCTTTTGGTTCAATTCACCAGGATGTGAACGGCTTGAGCTGCCAATGCCCGGCCGGTGAGGCGTTGGTGGATACCCCGGGCTTCGAACGCTGTGAGCCATGCCATAAGCTTTGCCTTACGTGCCCAAGAGCTGGCAGCAATGCTTCAAGCGCCCAAGTGGTCGAAGGGCATAGGCGCCTGCAGCCGAACTCGCATGAGGTATTTGCTTGCTTGGATTCTTCCCGGTGCAAAGCTGACGGCTGCGCAGCAGGACAGTTCTAGACGCAAACTCCCGGGGATTTTTTGTTGGGTTGAAAGCCAAACTGGGTTTGGCCAGTAGCAGTAGCAGAAAGAAAAAGAGGCACAAATCGTGTGTATTCATCGTGTGACGATTTCATGTACGCCAGGCTATGATGGAGTTCTGTGCTCGGATTGTGCCGTTCGGCACCACAGTAGCCATAGGCAGTGCAAACCGTGCGCGGAGATTCACAACATGTCTGCCAAGCGGATGGTGACCTTGGATTTGCTTCAAAACAAAGTGTTGTTTGCGGTGTAGAATTTCACCTTCACAAGTTTAGACTTCGAGGATATAGTCCCGGTTTTTGGTGACTGGAAATCATGTCCGCAGCGAACGGTCTTAAGAAAACCAACAGTTTGATTTTTCCCCACCTGCCAGGTGAGGGTTGTTAGATTTTATGTCAGTTGCCTGCTCCTCCTCTCCTCCTCTCCTCCTCATCTCCTCCTCCTCTCCTCCTCCTCCTCGTCGTCCTCCTCCTCGTCGTCCTCCTCGTCGTCCTCCTCCTCCTGCTCAACCGCGACCCTCGACGCACAGTGGTCTCTGTCGGACCTCAACCACGACCATCCCCGCCCAGTGTTCCCTGCCGGACCTCAACCACGACCATCCACGCCCAGTGTTCCCTGCCGGACCTCAACCACGACCATCCCCGCCCAGTGTTCCCTGCCGACCTCAACCACGACCATCCACGCCCAGTGTTCCCTGCCGGACCTCAACCGCGAGTATCCACGCCAAGTGTTCCCTGCCGGACCTCATGAGATATGCCAGATAGAATGCCAGAAGATATGCCAGATGGAATGTCAGATAGAATGCCAGAAGATATGCCAGATAAAATGCCATGAGATATGCCAGATAGAATGCCAGAAGGTATGCCAGATAAAATGTCAGATAGAATGACACAAGATATGCCAGATAGAATCCCAGGAGATTTGCCAGATAATATGCCAGAAGATATGCCAGAACATATGCCAGAAGATATGCCAGATAGAATCCCAGAAGATTTGCCGGATAATATGCCAGAAGATATGCCAGATAGAATGCCAGAAGATATGCCAGAAGATATGCCAGAAGATATACCAGAAGATATGCCAGATAGAATGCCAGAAGATATGTCAGAATATATGCCAGAAGATATGCCAGATAGAATGCCAGAAGATATGTCAGATAGAATGCCAGAAGATATGCCAGATAGAATGCCAGAAGATTTGCCAGATAGAATGCCAGAAGATATGTCAGATAGAATGCCAGAAGATTTGCCAGTAAGAAAATGTAAAAATGTCACGGTGGGGATCACACGAAGTAAAGTAATTTTTGGTAATGTGTGTATTTCCGTTTTCAAGCCAGGGTGGCATCAAACCATAGGTCATTTATTGGGTTGTTGTGCTAGGTATGCACAGGTTCGATTCCCTTGAAGTATTCGAAAAATAGTCAGTGAGACCTGTGGAACACTGCAGCCAGCCGAGGTCACATTGGCACTATGCAGTGCTGGCGTGCTAGTGGTTTTGGGCGCAGCTATGTGGACAATGAGGCGTGCAGAACATCTGATCAGATTTTTAGGGAGTAATTACAGATCATAGATCCACATCAATAAATCAATAAATCACCCAAACAACACCGCACATAGATGCAAATAGGTTGTATGAACCATCCCCAACTGGTAAACTTATTACTTATTCTCATGTCGATCTAATAAGGTTGGTGTTTCGGGCCACACCCGAACCCTTCCCCCTAAATTCGGGGGTGGGGTAGTGACCCGGCTCACCGGAGTCCGACGCCTGAGGGAGGCGTCAGAAGCACTAGACTAGACCGCCCCTCAGACCTATTCACAAGGGTACTTTAACAGAATTTCGAGGTCCATGTCGACACTTACATTGGTCATCATTGGTCATCATTGGTCACTTCCTGGTTTGGTCACAGGCGTCAACACCTTTGTCACCCACTGCAAGATTTGTTTCATCGAATGCGCCTGCAAACGTGTTGGATTCTTTAGCTTCACTCACTGCTTCAGCAACACTGAAGCACCTAGCAGTGGCAGTGTTGCTCAGGCGGAGATTTCTGGAGGTGGAGGTGGGTCTCAGGTGGAGATGTGCAGCGAAGCTGCTGGTGCCGCAGCTTGCTATCCTCCTTCAGCTGATGCAGCTGTGGTCCGTGGTGGGACGCTTGGAACAAGTCTGGGACGACTCGAGTGGAAATGCGACAGAGGACGTTGGCGGAAACGACACGGAGGTCCAAACCGGCAGTGTCTTGGCAGCATGTCATCCTGGTTCATCTGACTTGGAACCTTGCATGTCATGGACACAGATTCAATGGGAAATAGATATTTCCTTCAGTTCTTAAGGCGACGCGCTGGTGTCCTACGTTGAAGCTCTTCAGTTCACCGCAAGCGAACTACAAGATGTTTTTGCTCTGCAGTGCATTTTCGATGGTGCCTTGGTGCGTTTGGCATCCGCCATAGCGACACCAGTGGTTCCTTTGATCCTGCTACTTGCTTGCTGCATCGTCGAGATCTTCTCTGAGGGGACCGGAGACTAAGCAGCACCGGATGTTTTCACGTTGCCCGCGCGGTGGGATGTAAGCCTATTGAAGGAAGTAAATGATGATAGTTTATACAGTTTGGGGATGTTTGGGGATGCTTGGGTACCATTCATTTTCCGGAGCACTGCTCTGCCTTGATGAAAGAGCAGCATGCAAAAATTCACACCATGTTTCAAGAATTGGGCCCGAGACAAGAATAACGGATGACCCCAGGCCAGTTTTTGGATGCTGCGTTGGAGTAACAACGTTTCGATTCGCAGCCGAGCTTCGTTTGCCAAAATTTCGCTGGAAGTCAGGGATCTGTTGTTTTATGCATTTCTTCCAGGCATGACTTCGTTTCAGAAAAAGAAGCTATACGGAAAGGGATGGGACTCCCAGTGGTTCGCCAGGGATCCAAATCGGATTGAAGATCCTGACAGTGCTATTCATCGGTGGGGCCGCTGGCACCGCTGAGCTGTTGGCATGCGAACGGATGGATGGCACAGGTTGGGAACATCTGGGAACCAGTGGAATGGTGTTGTTGCCTTCTTTTTGCGGATTTTTAAGGATGTTCCCTTCCGTGCGCTTCATTCTTGGCTAAGTTGAGAAATTCGGGTGGGATGCGAGTTGAAATTAGTAGCGAAAACTGCTGGAGATGCTGCAGGCAAAGCGGCACTGAACGCATTCGCCTTTCGTCCGTTGATGCCTCACCTCCTGTGCACAGACGCAAGCTGGGTGCGAAGCTCAGCGATAGAACGATGCTCTGCAAAGATTTGATGATTTTTCATGATCTGTTTATTGGTACTTCGACAATGTTCGACATGCTCAAATGGCTGAAACCGATTTGCTTATTTATTTTATTTCGGCGATACTTCATGGCTGGTTGGAGCATGTTTGAACCATGACATCCTCTGGTTCAAGTTTTGCATTTTGCCATATGCAAGAGAGAGAATTGGGCGTCAGGTCGATGGGATCGGCCGTGCGTGCGCGGTGTTCTACGGAATGGTGATTCCATGTTTCCTGGCGTATCTGTTTGCCAAGCAGCACGTCGTAATGCGTCAGAGCAAGACCTTCGTGGTCTGGGTTGATGGCGACACAAAGGAGGCAACGCTGCATCTACAGGTGCTCAGCAACGAAGAACACCTGAAGGACTTGCTCTGGGCATTTTAGGAGTGCCATGTCTGTTGGCGCTTTGCCTTTGAATTCCAAGTGATTGATCATTTGTCTCCTTGACCAGCTGGTACAGTCCAGGACCATGTCAAACAGAAACGCTTGGCAGCAGCTGCTGCAGCCTACATTGCAGTACGCGCCAAGAAACGAGCACGAGTGAGTTTGAAGAAGGGTGTAGATGCAGTGATTCTTGGAGATGCACGGAGCGTGGAATATGATCGGCCGCCGCATAACCCATCAAATCACACACCTTTTGCGAAGGACAATTCACCCATGCCCAGTCCCATTCTGCAGCGTTGTAGCATGCCTGCTTTGTTTACCTTTCGTTCAGCTAAGGACTGTGCAGATCTTGCAAAATGAAGACAGTGCTGATGACATTTTTGACACAAGTTTCACAGTTTTTCAGCTGCAAAGTCTCCGTTTTTTTCCAACAAAAAATGAAAGTACTTGTAACATCTCCAAAGAGCAAAGACCCATGGTTTTGATGTCAATGCAACAGTTTTTGCAGGTCGATGATTTGGTGAGCCAAGATGCGGCCATGCTGCGCAGCCGCGCAGAAATCCTGCGCTACAATGCCATGGTACAAATGTTGGTAGAGCGCACGGTCCTCGCAGATATCCAATCCAACCAGTCAGATCGCAGCTTGGAAGTCTATGGAAATGTCGCCCTTTCCATTCTTTTTGTGGAGCGGTTGCTGTGAAGCTTCATTTTCAACATTTTGAAAAACCATGTGCCATTCCAAACACACAAAGAGTTCAACTCCACTTTTTGGCCAGAGCATTCCCTTGCATCTCGCCGTGAAAATAGCGCCTTGCCGCCTTGCCTGTCAAGTTTTTGATCTTAAGGCATCATGATGGGAGCAAGGGAACTGCTATGCAAGTACGTGGCTCGGCAGTGCTGGTGGCCACGCCTTTTTCAATGCTTCTTCATGACCTTGTAGAAAATCAATCTGGGAGGGGCACCCCAGTTCGCTCCATGTGGAACATCGCAGACGCAATAAGATCCTCTGGTTCTGGTACTGTTTGGCTGAAAGGTTGGGAACCTGTGAGTTTTTCCAGCTTTATTTCATGCACGGTACCGTCGTCTACAAGTTTTTTTTTGTCAGTAAATTCAGTCAGGTAGTTCCACGCTTAAAAAATCTCAGGTCAACTGCGGATTTGTTTGGATCGAAGTTTGCTTGAAGTTGGCCTCAGCAACTTTGGTCTCAGTACCTCGGGCGTGTTTGGGGATTGGATTGGCCCAGATGTTAGCACGGTCTTCGTGCTATTCTTAAAGATCCTTACACACTTTTAATATATTGCTTCTCTTGAATTGCACGAGTGTTGAAATTTGCTTTTGAGTGTAGAAACACAGGTCGAGTGATCAGATTTTATCATTTTATGGTTCCAAATCGCCATGTCCTGATGCCTTGCGGCTGAGGTCGTCGCTTCCAAGGATGGATTTTGGCTGTCGGTCGCCATCACCCTGGGGATGGCGTTGGTAGTTGGCCTGGCTCAGCCCTTCATGCAGCCGCAGCTGAATGCGCTGCAAACATGCTGCTTCCTATGCGTCTTGGAAAAAGAATATATATATATATATGTATTATATATAGATTTCAATCAGAACACCCATTCTCGGGTAGAATGGCTTAGGTAAGGGAAATGTTCATTGCTCATTTGAGTTTGTTCTGTCGCGTGTTCATTTGGATCTTTGAAGGAAAAAAACTTCTGGGCTTCGTCCTTGATGTCTCCATGCCCCAGTCGACCGTGCTGTGGGAGTTGGATGATTTCACTTAACACGATGAACCACCGATATAAATTGGATATTATTGGTTGGAGTGTCGGTGCTTGACGCGGCAATCCATGTGTTCATCCATCTTTATCTATGTGTCTATGTGTATTCTATCTGTCTGTCTATCTAGGTATCTGGCTCAAGCTCAAGTGGTGACACTCCTGCTTAAGTCACTCTCCTTTTCATCGTCTGCCTCGCATTTCTCTTCAAAATGAAGCACTTTGATTGGCTCAGAATTTTCAGCTATCTTGAGAAAGGTTTAAGCCCACTTGCGTAACTTGCGTATCTGACAAATTTTGCAGACCTCGTCAAATCTGTCTTTCTATCTGCCTATCTAGATATCTGTTCAGCTACCTAGCTGTCTAGCTACCTATCTGTCTAGCTACCTATCTGTCTAGCTACCTATCGGTCTAGCTACCTATCTGTCTAGCTACCTATCTGTCTAGCTACCTATCTGTCTAGCTACCTATCTGTCTAGCTACCTATCTGTCTAGTTACCTATCTGTCTAGCTACCTATCTGTCTAGCTACCTATCTAGCTAGCTACCTATCTGTCTAGCCACCTATCTTTCTAGCCACCTATCTGTCTAGCTACCTATCTGTCTAGCTACCTATCTGTCTAGCTACCTATCTGTCTAGCTACCTATCTATCTGACTACCTATCTGTCTAGCTACCTATCTGTCTAGCTACCAATCTGTCTATGTGTCTATCTATCTATCTATCTGTCTGTCTGTCTGTCTGTCTGTCTATCTGTTTGTTTGTCTGTTTGTCTATCTGTCTATCGCTCTATCTATCTATCCATCTGTTTTACCTACCTTTGTGTCTCTGTATCTATCTATTTGTCTGTCTGTCCATACTATCTGTCTGTCTGTCTGTCTGTCTTTCTATCTACCTATCCATCCATCTCTCTTCCTCTTTCTCTCTCTATCTGTGTCTTTTATTGTTGACAGCTGAAAATCGAAGCTTTTGATGTTGAAAGCTTGAAAAGCAGAACGTGACTGAAAACTTCGGCATCACACTTCCAATACGTTGCAGTTTCTTTTGCTTGCATGTGTTCAAAACATTGTGCCTGCCGCGAAAAAGTGCGTCGCGAAAAATGATATCCAAAAATGATGATTGCTCGAACACAAAAATGTGACCTTTTTCAGGAAATCAACGTCTCTGAGCTCCAACATGTTGCGGGGGCCACGCAAAATGCACCATGACCAAACTTCTTCAAGTGTGCCACACCTGCAAGCGTTTTTGTAGATGCTGCAAAACCCACACGTTTAGGTCACTTTTGCGTACATGCAGAATTCTTTGCTCGAACGTCCAAGAATGCCCCGTACCCGTCAGTGGTTTGCATTTTTGATTTCCAAATCATAAAAACACCACACATTTGTGCACCTTTTGACATCTTAACATCCAGAAGTGCTCCGGACTTGACAGTTTTTAACCAGTCGTAAATACACTACACGTTCGAGTACTTTTTGACACTTCAACTTTCCAAAGTGCTCCAGCCTGGACTTTTTTTAAACGCGATTGTGCACTTCTCGATACTTCGGCTTCCAAAAGTGTTCCGGAGCTGTCGGTTTTTAACAATTTTCATTTCCAAATCGTTAAACACCACACGTTCGTGCAGTTTTTGACCACTCGTGTTGGCAGATGGCTTCGCCTTGGCCAAGCCTACTTTTTGACCTCCGGGAAGCACAAATCATTCGAAAAACACGGCGTTTCGCGACTTGTCTACCTTTTTAGCCCACGTGGATCTTCTCTCTTTGACTCTTCGCACCACGCGAGCTGCGTCAGTACGTCGGAAGTTTGACTAAACTTCCTTCGGCCTCATACCACCGTTTCTGGTACCATGAATTCCCAGAATTCCGTTTCAATCCGAGCCAAAAAGACGGCGCAACAAAACTACACGGCCAACCTTCCCATTGAAACACTTGGATTTCCAGGTCTCTCCTTGGCAGCGCTGGGTTTCCAAGTTCGCCGCGTCTGGTGGCTGTCGCGTGTGGCGTTGGGGCTGCCGGTGCTACTGTTGTTGCTGCTGCTGCTGCGGCCCGATTCCAAAGAAGCCATGGCTGTGAGGCTGCAGGAGGTTCGGCTGGTGATGGCATGGGAAAGAGTGGGAAGACGCTTACGCGGACAACAACCAAAATGGAACAAACACGCACTTGAACCCACCTTAATTGTTGGAAAAGTTCAAGTCCCATGTGCCTGGAAAAATTGTGCTGTTGACGGATGACATCCAATCCTGTACCACTTGGGATATTTCAAACCGTGATTATCTTTTGGGATGTCATGCCCAGTCGGTTGCGGGTAGCAAATCATGATCAAAAAATGGATGATTTTGAAACATTGAAGTTTCGGTGTTTTGTCCAGGAATTGGAAACGAAACTTCCAGAAGGACCTGTGGAGGTTTCGGCCGAACAGGTGCGCTTCGTGTGATCAGGCCGGAGCTGTCCGTTGAAGTTGAAGTTGCATCCGGACTTGAAGCGATTTTGGTTTCTATTCTTCTGCCGTCAATTTGAACATTGCCGAAGTTGTTTGTGCAGTGAGTTTGGAACTTAGATGTGCCAGCCATTTTGATCATGTGCTTCGTTTCAAACGGAAATTACATTATATGATTACCCTCTGGTAAACTAGCATAACTATGGAAAATCACCTTTTTTCATAGGTAAATCAACTATAAATGGGCCATTTTCAATAGCTATGTTAAATTACCAGATGGTATATGTTGTGTTCTTTCCAGAATTCTTGGGACCAAGTCACAAAGTCGTTGCGAAACTGGTGTGCTATGCAGTTCTGCATCTTGAAGTATGTATAGAAACAGACCCAATATGATGCAATTACGTAATCTTGTTATAGTCAAGTGGTTTAGTCGCATCAATTTGCTTACATGTCTCCGTACCCCTCGGGAAAACATTTTGGAAGGGCCGCATTGATTCATCAATTTTTGGCACGGTTTATGGGTGCTTTTGCCGTTTCTCGTGGCAAAGATCATGCTCTTTGTCTCGCGCTCTCTCTCTCTCTCTGTCTCTTTTTCTCTGTCTGTTTCTCTATCTCTTTCTCTTTCTCCTTAACTCCGCTGAGCAGCCCCATCTGCCAGACTGCTGCTAAACTGCAGCTAGGTTGGTACTAGACTTCGGCTGGGCTGCTCTTCGGCTGGGCTGCTCTTCGGCTGGGCTGCTGCCAACCTGTTGCTGGACTGCTGCAAGGAGACTGCATGGTTTGCTTTGATATTCTTTGAGGTTTCTCTTGGTTCTGGTTTCGAACGCAGAATTAATTATGGATTTTCATGAAATGATTTTGGGAAAAGGAAGAAAAACTTCCCAATGACCTTGCCAGAAGTAAGTTTGCGAGATATTTTAGAGCAATTCCTGGATGATGAATCAGATTCTGAATTGTTGACATTGACATATATTATACTGAATTATACTGTTACTGGTAATATTACTTGTATCTGTATATCTCAACAATATCGACCAAACGTGACCCAGGTTTCGAGCTCCGCATTCTGTTCTGAGAGGAAAAATCGGAGCCAGCGGCTCTGAAGACGCCGAAGATACCATCAACTTCCGCCCGCACCTAACGATCTTTTCTCTAGCAACCTAGCAGTCTAGCGCGTAGTGACGTGGATTCTGCCGGAATGCGGCATGGTGGATTTGGAAGGATGTGACCTTGGGTTCATTGGAATCTCACCAGATTCATCTCACCAGATCTCCCCAATTGAAGAGTACAGGATTTTGTTATCCCAAGAAGTAGTACATTTTTTTTAAAAAAATACCATTTTATCCAACTTCAGGAACGTTGTTTTTATTTTTATTTGCTTTGTCTGGATTTGCCCTACCGATTTCCAAGCACAGCCAGCACTACAGGTCTTGAATCATGTAATTTGAATTTGTTTCCTTCGTCCAAAAATGGGGAGGACACACCATTTATGGTCATTTGATTGGAGAACATAACAATTTTCAATTTGTAATTTGTGCTACTGTATTTTCTTGTTCCTATCTGCTATTGTCATCTATTGTCTATTGTTAGAACTGCGAATGGCACGTGCGCAGAAAAAGCTGTTGGTTCAAGTTCCTTTCGACGTGGGAACGTCGCGCGTCGCGCCATGTACGAGGAAGCGTGCCTGGAGCGAGGCACTGCATGCCGCAGGCCGGATCTCGACGCGGGCGACGCGGGCGATGGGATGGAATGATGAACCAAACATAGAGCTGGGGATGTTACTTGTTACCCAACAAGAATGATAAGAATGGGAACACAATGGCCCACAATGGCCATGGGTCAGAGTTCAAGACACCCCAATCCAGGTCAGATTTTAGTGGTATGAAAAAGCATTGGCAATGCGGTTTCTTTGGTATGCAAGGACGTGACCATGCTTTTTTTTTTTTGTGACGAATTCGTGATGGCTGGCTTTGCCAACTCACCGAGCAAAGGGATTGCCGGGCTCCACACAATTTGGGAGTGGCACGGCTCACCACATCTCACCACTATTTCAACTTTCAACAGGAGATAGTTTCACATGTGCCGTTTTCAAGAGTGCCACAAAAAGTTGATGGATTGAACGGACTTACAGGACACCGCCATGATTTTTTTTCCAGCAAAGCACCCTGACCGTGGTTCCGATAGAATATTGGATTGACATATTGATATGGATTCATTTTAGTTTTTTTTTTTCTAGAGTTTCTAGTATTAATTAATTCTAGTACCCTTCTTTATCCACCAGATTGGTCCCTTCAAAAAGTCGTCGCATTTCACCGAAAAAGTCGTCCAGTTTCCCAGCGCATGAGGCAAGCTCGCAGCCGTCCGGCCACACCCACTGGAGCCAGTGGGCCTGAGGTGTGGAGTGGGACATAGTGGGACCCAAAAACATCTGCCATGATTGGGGGGATTCTAATATGGATTTATGAGGTTTAACCTATGGTTTAACCTATGGTTTAACCATCATGATTTATGATGATTTATGTGGTTTAACCTATGGTTTAACCATCATGATGGCTGGAGAACAGTGTCAAACAAGAATGACATTTATATATAAATCATTTCTTGTTGATTTACTGTATGATTAATATAACGGCGGTTAACTCACAAAATGAAAATTTTTCACTGGGGAGAGAATGGGGATATAACTGGGTTTTTTAGGGGGAACAAAGTGGTTGAAAAAACATTTGCTGATCCAACGTAGCCGTTGAACATGGCCTTTAATAGGTAAATCATCTGAACATGGATGAACATGGTATGAACATGGTTAACTTTTATAGCTTTGTTAAATTACCAGAGGGTATCAACATCTGACCGCAACATCTGGTTTCATTTGTATATGAAAATATGTTTTCACTTCTTTCATAGTGAGCCCCGCTCGAACTCGAACTCGAACTCGAACCCCCCCCCCCGGAAAAAAAAACAAGCTTTCTGAGTCCGGACTCGCGGTCCACATGCTCGAACTCGAGTTCGAACTGGCAGTGACACAGTTCGAACTCGCGTTCGAACTCGCCCCAGAGCAGTTCGAACTCGATTTTGACCTGGCGGCGTCCGCGTCGAACTCGAACTCGAACTCGCACACCCCCCCCCGGGAAAAAAAAAACAAGCTTTCTGAGTCCGGACTCGCGGTCCACATGCTCGAACTCCAGTTCGAACTGGCGGTGACACAGTTCGAACTCGCCTTCGAACTCGCCCCAGAGCAGTTCGAACTCGATTTTGACCTGGCGGCGGCCGCGTCGAACTCGAACTCGAACTCGAACTCGACCCCCCCCCCGGAGAGAAAAAAAACAAGCTTTCTAGTCCGACTCGCGGTCCACATGCTCACCGAGTTCGAACTGTTCGACTCGCCCAGAGCAGTTTCAACTCGATTTTTGACCTGGGCGGCGGCGCTCGAACTCGAACTCGACCCCCCCCCCCGAGAGAAAAAAAAAACCTTTCCGAGTATGCATTCACGGTCAAGCTCTGAAAGACTGCGAGCTGTCAGCCGGGAAGTCAGGTGCCAGGAATTAATTTTTTTCCGTATCAGATTGAGGGGGGGAGATATGGCATGTTATATACCAACGCAAGCATCCAGGAAATAATTTTCTTACTTGGCTATCAGAGGGGTAAATTTATTGGATGTTGGACGTTGGGCACCAGGAAATTAGCAAAACAAATTCAAAAAGGTGGTTGGAAGTGAGAGTTCGGAAAAAAAAACAAGCTTTCTGAGTCCGGACTCGCGGTCCACATGCTCGAACTCGAGTTCGAACTGGCGGTGACACAGTTCGAACTCGCGTTCGAACTCGCCCCAGAGCAGTTCGAACTCGATTTTGACCTGGCGGCGGCCGCGTCGAACTCGAACTCGAACTCGCCCCCCCCCCGGAGGGAAAAAAAAAAAACACTTTCCGAGTATGCATTCACGGTCAAGCTCTGAAAGACTGCGAGCTGTCAGCCGGGAAGTCAGGTGCCAGGAATTAATTTTTTCCGTATCAGATTGAGGGGGGGAGATATGGCATGTTACCAACGCAAGCATCCAGGAAATAATTTTCTTACTTGGCTATCAGAGGGGTAAATTTATTGGATGTTGGACGTTGGGCACCAGGAAATTAGCAAAACAAATTCAAAAAGGTGGTTGGAAGTGAGAGTTCGGAAAAAAAAACAAAGCTTTCTGAGTCCGGACTCGCGGTCCACATGCTCGAACTCGAGTTCGAACTGGCGGTGACACAGTTCGAACTCGCGTTCGAACTCGCCCCAGAGCAGTTCGAACTCGATTTTGACCTGGCGGCGTCCGCGTCGAACTCGAACTCGAACTCGAACTCGCACACCCCCCCCCGGGAAAAAAAAAACAAGCTTTCTGAGTCCGGACTCGCGGTCCACATGCTCGAACTCCAGTTCGAACTGGCGGTGACACAGTTCGAACTCGCCTTCGAACTCGCCCCAGAGCAGTTCGAACTCGATTTTGACCTGGCGGCGGCCGCGTCGAACTCGAACTCGAACTCGAACTCGACCCCCCCCCCCGGAGAGAAAAAAAAAACCTTTCCGAGTATACATTCACGGTCAAGCTCTGAAAGACTGCGAGCTGTCAGCCGGGAAGTCAGGTGCCAGGAATTAATTTTTTTCCGTATCAGATTGAGGGGGGGAGATATGGCATGTTACCAACGCAAGCATCCAGGAAATAATTTTCTTACTTGGCTATCAGAGGGGTAAATTTATTGGATGTTGGACGTTGGGCACCAGGAAATTAGCAAAACAAATTCAAAAAGGTGGTTGGAAGTGAGAGTTCGGAAAAAAAAACAAAGCTTTCTGAGTCCGGACTCGCGGTCCACATGCTCGAACTCGAGTTCGAACTGGCGGTGACACAGTTCGAACTCGCGTTCGAACTCGCCCCAGAGCAGTTCGAACTCGATTTTGACCTGGCGGCGTCCGCGTCGAACTCGAACTCGAACTCGAACTCGCACACCCCCCCCCGGGAAAAAAAAAACAAGCTTTCTGAGTCCGGACTCGCGGTCCACATGCTCGAACTCCAGTTCGAACTGGCGGTGACACAGTTCGAACTCGCCTTCGAACTCGCCCCAGAGCAGTTCGAACTCGATTTTGACCTGGCGGCGGCCGCGTCGAACTCGAACTCGAACTCGAACTCGCCCCCCCCCGGAGAGAAAAAAAAAACCTTTCCGAGTATGCATTCACGGTCAAGCTCTGAAAGACTGCGAGCTGTCAGCCGGGAAGTCAGGTGCCAGGAATTAATTTTTTTCCGTATCAGATTGAGGGGGGGAGATATGGCATGTTACCAACGCAAGCATCCAGGAAATAATTTTCTTACTTGGCTATCAGAGGGGTAAATTTATTGGATGTTGGACGTTGGGCACCAGGAAATTAGCAAAACAAATTCAAAAAGGTGGTTGGAAGTGAGAGTTCGGCTTCAGAGGTTAGGGGCCAGGAATTTAAAGCTTCAAAACCTCTCTCAAAGGTTAGGGGTCATCATTTTAGACCGATTTTTTTCTAGGCCCACACCCCACGTTAAAGTACTGAGGGATCTTGAAATCATGTCCAATCTAAGGCAACTAAGTTTCATTTCGCCAAGCAACGACGCTTCGTATAGTTTGCATATCATCGCTCCGAGCGGAACGAAAAAAAAACATCCAAGCTGTATGGTTGGATGCTGCTTGTTTTACGAGACAATGACCAAATTTAGACGGCAACTGGCTGCACACCATGTCAAGCCATCAACCCCCAGGAAATCAATGACCTTCGGCAAACTTAGCCCCGACAAATCGAGAATGACACAGTTCGAACTCGCGTTCGAACTCGCCCCAGAGCAGTTCGAACTCGATTTTGACCTGGCGGCGGCCGCGTCGAACTCGAACTCGAACTCGCCCCCCCCCCCGGAGGGGAAAAAAAAACAAACCTTTCCGAGTATGCATTCACGGTCAAGCTCTGAAAGACTGCGAGCTGTCAGCCGGGAAGTCAGGTGCCAGGAGTTAATTTTTTTCCGTGTCAGATTGAGGGGGGGAGATATGGCATGTTATATACCAACGCAAGCATCCAGGAAATAATTTTCTTACTTGGCTATCAGAGGGGTAAATTTATTGGATGTCGGACGTTGGGCACCAGGAAATTAGCAAAACAAATTCAAAAAGGTGGTTGGAAGTGAGAGTTCGGAAAAAAAAACAAGCTTTCTGAGTCCGGACTCGCGGTCCACATGCTCGAACTCGAG